AAGGGAGGTCACATAAAAAACTATGGCTAGAATACTAGAATAACTATGTCAACGAAATGATCTATCGGTAAATAAGTTTTCTATGAAATGAGCTGTCAGTAAATAAATTATTTATGATATGAACTTGTCCTTGAATCGATTACTTGTAGAATAAAGCTTGTATGTGAACTACTATCATCGTATATAAAATAAGGTGTCCACGAAGTGAGCTGCACCGATAAAAAATATACACAATCATTATTACACATGTGTTACATAAAATGCAGTCGAATCATGAAATATTGTCTTGAAACGTTATATAAAATTTGGTTTAGAAGTATCTTTCCTTTATGAAATTCTTCTATGGCTTCTCTGATACGAATTACATTAGCTGTAAATTACAAATCGAATCTTTGTAATCGTATTTTTTCACCAATGCAAATCTTTTTTTAGCTGCAAATACGTATACAATGATATCTAATTATGGTTATTCATTTAATTTAATGAGTGAGATTAAAGAACATATTAAATGAAGTTATTCAAGTTCATAATATTTTATTATCTTATCAAGTAATAAAATTTTTGTACATTTTAAATACAATGTTAAATTAATTTTAATTTTAAATAATCGATTCAATTATACTTGAGAAATTTTATATCGTTAAAGAAATTATTTAATGTTTAACCATTAAAATAAAATGATTATCTATAACAAACTAGTAATTTCCTACGTCAAACGAGAAATCCCGGAATTTATTACAAAACAACCGAAACAACAAATGTACATGTGATTCATAAAGTCATCTGATCTCGCAATAATGATCGCCTTACCGGCTACTCATTATATCATTATTATTATATGTACAAAATCAGTTTAATTTAACTCTGGTAATGCTTTTCCAATCGAAGATATGATCGTCATATTTTACATCCATTAAAAAGGCAACAAAATGCTTAGAAATGAACAAGTAATGGATTACCTAAAATAGAATGTTAATAATGAACTTTTTATACGTACGAATAGATAACTGATAATAAAATTGCTTAAAATAGGAATTATCCGAAATGGAATGTTAAATGTAATTATATAAAGCGTCAAAATTTAAAAATCGAAATAATACAAAATTATAATTCCTTAGAAATTGGGATAAAAATCAATAAACTGAAAACATGAAGGGAAACTCTAAAGAACTTGCTTTATATTACAAAGAACTTCTACAAAATGGATATAATTCTGATGTAATTATTCGCTTTGGTCAGGAAGAAAGTTTAGAGAAACTTTATGCACATTCACTTATTTTAAGAGCACGCTCCACTTTTTTTGATACTGCTCTTTCCAGTAGATGGGCTAAAAAAGAAGGAAATTCTTTTATTATTGAAATGAAAGATGTGCCAATAAATATATTTAAAGCGGTTTTAAGGTTTATATATTTAGTTTTATTTTACAATTTTTATATGCTTATCAAATAATGATTATTAATCGTATTAATTTTTAATCTTAAAAGTTACATATATACTACAGAAGTTTCTTTAAACGAATTAGATGGTATTAAGTTCTTAGAATTTTTAGTAGAAATAAATAAATTACTTCTTAGTGAAGAAATTGTTAGTAAATTATTTTCTTCAGTACAAGGACGATTTGAAAAATTAATACGAAGTGATGCAATTAAAGTATTACAAATTGTTTTTCAAAATAATATATTCGAATCACTTCGTGAACCATGTCTTAAATATATATGTGCATATCCAAATGAAATATTTGAACATGCGAAGTTTACACAGCTAGATTCACATATTCTAATACTCATAATGCAACGTGATGATTTAGGAAAATTAAGCGAAGATAGGATTCTAGATTATTTAATTAAATGGGGAATTGCTCAAATTCCAGATACCATTCAGAAAAAAAAATAAGTAAATGGGAAAGGAATGATTACAATATATTTAAAGAGGCTATTAATGAATTTATTCCTTTAATTCGCTGGTTCATATTTCAGAGAAAGAATTCAAACAACATAGGAAATTTTTTGAAAATATTTTATCGAAAGATTTATTTAATAATATTTTAAATTATCATCTTGATCCTAATTCTTTACCAACGAAAGCCAGAGTTTTACCATCAAAGAAGTTATTTTCTTTATTTTTTAAGCGATTCGAAGATGACGTATTTCTTAGTTCGTATGATGATCTTGTCAATATTAATAAAAGACTGTTTGAAATTAAGGATCAATATGATGTCATAATTCGCGTTGGTGAAGGCAGTAATTTTAAAGATTTTTATGCACATTCATTAATTTTATGTGCATCCTCTTATTTAAAAAAGGTCTTTTCAAAAGATTTTAATAATAAAAAAGATAAAGATCCTTTTATTTTTACAATTGAAAATATTTCAGCAACCATTTTTGAAGTCATTTTAAGGTATTTAATTTGTATATTTAAATTATTATATACGTATCATTATATGCACATTATCAATAACTATTATTAATCATATCTTCATTTAAAAGATATTTATATATTACTGAAATTGATTTTGAAAACTTAGATGGAAGTAACATTTTAATGCTTATTGAAGCAGCAAATAGAATGGACCTTGGAGTTATTATCATCATCTGCTAATTTTGCTGATAACGTTTTAAGAAAGCTGAATGGAGCAGAAGTTTTAAAACTCATAATGAAGACCAACGAATTTAAAATTCAAAATGGTATGAATTATATATTATCAAAAAATGATAATGCAAAAGTTATTTTAGGCAAGCTGGATAGTGTTGAAATATTAGAAATTATAGAAAAGTCTGAAGAACTACAAATTCAAGGAGCAGTTACTAAAATACTATCAAATAAACGTATTTCCAATATTATATTACGTAAATTTAATGAAAATGATGTTTTAAAGCTCATGAGAATACCAAATAACATGAAATATAGAAAAGCTGTTGACGATCTATTAACAAGTGATGAGTTTATTAAAATAATTCTTGATAAATTGAATATTGAACTATTATTACAATTTATGAAAACAGCAGTTGAACTACCAACTAAAATAATTATTTATAAACTATTTACAAATGTAAACCTTAAACTAAATTTAATGGTGTTGATGTTTTACGTATATTAGTAGAAGCTAATGCATTGCAAATTCAGAAATTAGTTCTTTATATGTAGAACAATATTTAGAAAGTCTTATTCAAAATGACGCAGTTGGTGTATTGCAGATGGTTTTTAATCATGATATATGTGAAATATTTAGAGACTACAGCATTTATCTTATATGCGTCTATCCTGGTGCACTATTTGATAATCCAAAGCTTATTCAATTAGACCGATCCATTTTAATTCTTATATTACAACGTGATGATATGGGAAAATTAGAAGAGAAAAGCATTTGTGATTACTTAATTAAATGGGGCACTGCTCAAAACAAAGCCATTATTCGAAAGAATATAAAAACTTGGACAAGTCAAGATTATAAAATTTTTGAGAAATCTATTCACGAATTTATTCCTTTGATTCGTTGGTTTAAAATATCATCAAAAGATTTTAAGCAAAATCAATCCCTTTTTGAAAATGTTATACCAGATAACTTATATCAAAATATTGTAGATTATCATCTTGATCCTACTTCATCACCAAAGGGAAAGGAAGTTTTACCACCTAGATATTTACCCGATATATTCCTTCTTAAACCTCGACACTTTAAAATTTTTGAAAGCTGGATTGAAGAAGTTGATCAAAATGATGGTCGTAAAAATAAAAATCTTTTTAACAAACTGTTTAATTCGGATAAAAATGAGAAGAAAGAATATTCCGGATTAACAACCTTAAATACAAAGCCAAAGCATTTTTCGAATAATAATCTTTATGATTTTATTCTTATTTATCGTGGAAAGGAAAATAGTTTTAGTACAAGGAAATTTCATGAATTATGTGACAACAAAGGACCAACTTTGACAATAATAAAAACTTCTAACCAACATATTTTTGGTGGTTATAATGATTCAAACATAGAACATCATTATTTTGAAAAAAAAGTATCAAACAGAAATTTTTTATTTTCTTTTGATAGTCAAAATGATTTTAATACTTCAAAACTTGCACGTGTTAAAAAGAATAGTTTAGCTTCGGAATATTATTCAGATTATGGGCCTTGCTTTGGTTGTAATAAGAATGACTTTGATATGTATATTAATTTAGATGAACTACATATTTCAAGTTCTAATATTTATCCAAATTTAAAAAGTTTTATAAAATTAAAAACGACACTTGAAATAGAGGATTATGAAGTTTGGAATGTATTTAAAAAACATATTTAATTTTATATTATCTTAAAGGACATTTTTAACTTGTGCCAGTGGTTAAGGATAACCAGTATGCTAATATCTCAATAACGTACTAAGTAAACGGGATTGGGTACTCTAAGTAAAAATGTTCAGGACCCCAAAAAACCTCATGAGAACTGAGATCAGGGCCTTATATCCAATAGAAATCATATTAAATAAAAAAAAACATTTTATATAAAAAAACTCCTATTTATCTCAGAGCTGCACCCTAACCCTAAGTTTTAATAGGAGTGGTTATTTTTAACCAGTGGCGTAAATAATAATAATTCATCTTAAATTATATTAAATTATTTATTATATATTAAATTATATATTAATTATATTAATAAATTATATATATATTATATTATTATATGTAATTTCGTTTTTTTCAAAATTAATTTATTGTAACTATCCGCATTCAAAATGACCTAGTTATGGTGAATGATGTTTTGTAATACGCTACAGATAAACTTGAAATTAAATCATATATGTAGTATGCTTGCAATTGTTTTTTTGTTCAAGGAGTAACAAGAGATAAACAAACAAACAAAAAAGCTTATTTCTTCGCTATTTAACAAGTTTTTTGAAGAGTAGACTAGATACTTTCCATATAGTTGTATTGCAATATCAATTAATAATACTCTATCAAATTTTTAGCTAGAGATTTAAGTAGCTCAAAATTAAAAATTTTACTAATGAAATTTAGTTAGTATTTTGGATCGATTGTTTACAAAAAATTCTCTACAGATTATGATGTCATGTAAAATCACGGGAAATTATACGTAAGAACTCGCACCTGTTTATTGGATTAGGTTACTGTTACTGTTTAATCTCAGTTTTTGCCAGCATAAGAAATTAAATATTAGCTTTAACGCCAATTTAATTCTGCATCAGGCACATTGGCCAATCAGAACGCTAAATTTTTGTCGGGGTTTTTTTTTTCTTGTCGAATTTTTTACCATTCGTCAAGGTTATTTCTTGTGGCTGGGATGCTTGAAAAAATTGTTGCAAATATTTGTATCCTGTGTATGTGGTTGTTTTTTTACAAATGATTTGTTGATCTTTAATTTCGATTTAATTTTCTTGACCATAAAATGTGGCCAAATATAAGCAAACAAACATTTGATTTGTATTATAACTTACAATGAGGCTGAAAGAATAGTTACTTTTATTTTTTGATTCCTGTTCTAGAAGCTTCATTTTACCTTACACAATAAACAATTTAACACGAGACAAATCTTATTATTATAGCCCTGCATGATGCGGTTTTATTATCGTAACATAATTTTGAATGCTAGTTTTTGTCAATTTCGCACATTTTGTTAGTTCCACACCTTTTATCACCTTTCATCAGCTTCATTATTTTTTTACAGTAGGTAAAAAATATTGGCATGGCAGTATAAATTAATGTATAAGTCAAGTATCTGTAAGATGTTTTGGAACGCGGAAGCGGCCCTAAATATCTTACAGTTATTTGATACATTCACTGATTATTATCGTCCGTTATTCATTATGAGATATGCCATGCCACAACTATAAAAAAAAGTCATGCCACACCAAAAAACTATTACTATAGGGAACACAAATTATAACTTTTATGTTTCCACTTTGTTCCTAAAAGGGAACGTAAATTTTAAATTTAGTGTTTCCAAATTTTTTTAAATGTTCCTGGGAACACTGGGAACATCATATCTTCGTAACCCAAGTTGTGAGGGGCAAATCGATCCGGAATCACAAAATATGGCCTCACAGATATCAACTAAGACTAAACTAATCCAAATCAACACTATAAACCACTAAACTCTATCGAACCCTAATAGTGGAAGGCACGAAAGAGGGCGTGGAAAGACTTGGTCCGAGTTATTAAGGCCAAATAGATCTCTAGACTACGTTTATGAGTTATATGCACAAACGATAACTTAACTAAAACTGACTTTATTCAAGGTGAACTCTTAGGCATTATATACATTATTTGGCCACAATCTAATTTGTTAATTCTATCTATCATATATAAAATATATAGCATATCTAACAGATCCAACATATATAACGTATATAACAGATCCAAAATATCTAACAGATCTTACATATCTGACAGATCTGACATATCTGCCATATCTGATAGATCTTTTCCAACCCACTGTCAGACCCGAAAACGGCGAGTCTGTCGCTTGAACCATTTCATTCGAATTAATTTAGAAATATGAAAATATTAGTTTATCAGCAGTATCCAAATTATTGTCACACAATAAAACTTTGCTTCTGTATACATAATTAAGACAGGCGGCAAAGCCGCCCACATGGTCATTTTCTAGTTAATAAATAAAGCCACGTAATACAATATTTGCAAAAACTTTTCAAGACTCCCAGCTACAAGAAATAACCTTGGCCAAACAGTGCAAAAAAAAATTAAAACCTTTGCTACACATTTTCATGACCAATGCCTATCTATTCATAGAACCAGTGTGTTATCTTAATTCTAAAAATTACTTTAAACAATACAACACTAGCAGAATGTTATCCTATGTTATTGCAGCATTGCAATATTATAACCAATAATGTAATAGCAGTATGATATTTAGATACATCAGTATTATAATATTTCACTATAATGGCATTACAGCATTACGGCATAAAATAATTACCAGTCACACGATTTGTCACGCAGATCATGGGGGTAAATTTTTTACTATGAAATTTGAGTGATCGACATCTATATGATCGACCCATTTTTCATAGTAAATTGCAATGGTAGGCTCTTTTCAAACAGCATTTTCAGGGGTTTCCTAAAAGGAAATTGCACTTACAAGCCTAGGTGCAACAGTTCAGCTACACAAATACTTTCTTGTTTTTTAGCTTTAACCGAGAAAAATAATAAACCTGAGAAGAATTATGCTGTCAAAAACAGCCTTTTGTTTTATTTTTTATAGTGCTTATAATGCATCAGAATCTTCGAAACTTTTTAAGCAAAAACTCATGTACCCACCCGAGAATATAAATTTCTAGAGGCGTTATAATGAAACTAACTTGTGAAGGTATGCACTCTGCGCTTAGATCATATTGTCTTAGCAAAAGGTCTTTTTTTCATTCATTATAAAATGCACCTATGGCGATTTGGCACTTATCATATCTTTTTATTATGTTTTATAGATTTTGAATATAAAATTTTTAACGCAAACTTTTCATGCTAGAGTTAGTATTTAGGGTTAGAATTAAAGTTTGAGAAGGGTTTTTAAAGGCGTAGAACATTTTTATTTAGAGAATTCCGTACCGGTTGATTAGCTAGTTTTTGAGATAATGTATTCATAGGCGTAAAACACCATAAGTGTGTTTTAGTAAAAGTTTTTTTAAAAAAAAAACTTGGGGGTATTGTGTAGCGCGCATAATGTAGTCTTATTTAATTAATTTATGTTAATTATAAGAATTGTAAATTTTAAAAAATAATGTATATATGCGATATAAATTCAATTTTTAAATAAAAATCAAGGTTTTAATTATAAATCATCAAAATGTATTATCATATTATAAAATCTTTATTTTTAATGCTCAAATAAATACAAAAAAATCTACTTGTTACATAAATGTTTATAACTTTTGAAAAGCATTAACTAATCGACTAAGGTAAACTTTCGTTATAATGAACTACCAATTTATATAAAAAGCCTCTCGATATAGTGAATTTATTAAAAACCTTTTTTGATGTCCTAATGTCAATATAAGTATTATGATCAATATTACATGATTTCGATAATATTCGATTTGTCTCATCAAGACAAATCAAATGATACTAAAATCATTCAATCCCAATCACCAGATCTAAAAAAAATCTTACAAAGATCGATGGTATAATCGATATATAAGATCAAGAAAACGAAAATCCCAGTCCTAAACTTGTATTAAAAATGAATTAAAATGAATTAATAATAAAGATTATTAAAAAACAAATAAAAAAAAAATGCAAATTATAAAAAAAAAGCAAATTATAAAAAAAAAAACTGTTAAATTAATATGATCTACATATCAAAAAACAGTTTTTCCCGATTTTCTCCATTACATTCATAATGCACCGTCCCTTCAGAGATGCATTTTGGTGAAAGCTCTCACTTCGGCGCACCTAACGATCTATGTTTTGTGCCAGGTACTTGCAAACTGGAGAAGAATCAAGCGAAAGAAAGCAAAATAATTGCATACTTTCGAAGCTATATTACTTTACATGGAAAAGCTTATTTTATATATTTTTTATACTTTCTGAATCTTAAAAACTCCAGGAACAAGTTTGTTTTAAGAAACATTATGTACTGCGGCTAAGGTTTTAGAAGAAAATTTAAAAAATGTAAATTCGTCGATTTGTGTAATTTATGAAAATCATATGATAAAATCTGGATGTGACAAATCGTGTGACTGTTACGGAAAATAGTACGGCACATGCCGTAACCGTATTAATTTACCAAATTAATTTTACCGCCAACACTAACAATGAATAAAATTGCTTTGTGAAATAAGCTGCTTGTGAAATAAACTCTATGAAATGAACTTGTCTGTGAATTAATCGTCTGTAAAATAACCTTAGCTGTAAATTAATTGCCTGTGAAGTTATTGTCATTGAGTTGATCAAAACCGAATTTATTTATCCGTAAACTATCATCTTCTATTCTGAAATATATAATACAAACTAGACTGCTATTTACTCATTAACATAACTGTGCATTACATAAATAACTCCCTTAGCAATATCCTTTACCTTTGTTAATTATTTGCAAATATTTCTTCTGGCTCTTTATAAATAAAAACAAATTTTTGCATCTTCATATAATTTATTATTGGCATTATTGTTATTTATTTAAATTTATAATAAATTTATGTAAATCCGCAGATTTATGTTTATTAGAACTTAAAATCTATTTTGATAAATTTTATTACATAAACTAAATTCTTCTGAGTACATACTTTTTAAACATCAATTTTTAATTCAATTAAATTTATTCTGCAAATATAAGAAAAATGTGAGCTAAGTTAACATATTATACAAAAATACAAGTGACTTTTCGGCACACCATGCAAGTTAGCTGCACAGTATATTATTAGGTACTAGGTTATTCGCTAACAACTCACCAATCATTAGTAAATGGTAGCTCAGAAGGTTCCATCACCAAAAGATTACTCCGCTAAATTAACTTCTGTTAAAAATATATATTGTTAGTTAAAATGGATAATTATAAATTATCAAATCATAAGTACATATTTTAAGGTCACCAATAATTTTAAAAAATAAATATAATGAGGCTTGTACTTACGCGCTAATAATTTAACAGAACAGTAACATTTGTTAAAATATTTGCCAGATGCATATTTTAAGATCACCAATAATTTAAAAAATAAATAGAATAAACCTTATACTTACGTGCTAATAATTTGACAGAGGCATTCGTTAAATTACTTGT